GGGCGACGCCCGGCCCCCGCCCGCCCACCCCGTGTGGCGGTGGCAGGTAGGGGGCCCTGCGGTCCCCGAGCCCCCCGGTTGCAAGTTTTGGGGGGCCAACCTGGAAGAACTCTGAGCGTGGGACACCTCTGCTGCTGCGGAGGGCAGCCGGAGACGCCGGGCTCGAGGACAGAGCCTGGCTTCTCGCCTCTGCCTGTTGGCGACGCTTTCTGCGCCGCGGGCGTGGGGACTCGAGCGACTGCCGCGCGATCTCTGTCCATCTCATCTCTGCGGAGGAGTCGACGCCTGCAGTCGGGGGACAGTCAGTGACACGAACTCCTGTGCTCCAGACCCCGAGAAGGGCGCTCGAAAGACCTTGGTGACGGACAGACCGCTGTTTCTGCGTCCCGGGGCGCGCCGGGGCCGTGGGGGCCGGGGCCGGCCGCGGAGGGTGATTGGCAGCTCCCTGGGGGGCCCCACCCCCCCACCCCCACGCCCGACCTTTAACCCTTGGCTGCCCGCAGGCCGTAGAGCCCGCACCGCCATGCCTTGCTGGGGAGGGGGCCAGGTCACCCCCTCCTGCTCCCTTCTAGGCCCCCCAAGTTGAGGGGACCTGGTTGGTGAGAGCTCCAGTCTCAGGCACCATCCTTTCCTTTTTGCCCGGTTTTGGAGTCTTTGCCGCCCAGTTTTTCATTTGCTTTCAGTTCATAGGTCTGATGGGCCAAAGAGAGACCCCCACCTTGGTAACCCGCCCCTGCCGCAGTTGACTCCACACTTAGGAGGGACAGGACCCAGGGACCCCGCCGCCCCGTCTCCCGCAGACTTAGCCTGGGGACGGGGCGAGAGATTCCCAGGGAAAGTAATGGAAGGTGGAAGAAATCAATAAAATCAGACCAAACGAGTCGCCTCTCGAGGTCCTCTGGCGGATTAAGGAGGGGATGGAGTCGAGGGCAGGCCTGAATCCTTTCTTTGGACACCCAGACTTGTTCCCCTCAGGACAGGGGACGAACCAGCCCCTCCCTGCAGAGGGGTCTCTGAAAGGGCTCTCGTGGAGTTTGAAGCGGGCACGGTTTGGTGCTGCTGAGACCAGGCCTGCGACACCCTCAGCTCCCTCCTGAGCACCAGGCGTCGCGGGTTGTCAGGGCCTGATGGATCCGAGGCCGCGGGGGAGGATTAGGCTTGGGGTCAGAGGTCCCTTTTTCCAGGCAGGGCCTGGGCCACACCCGGCTGGGAGGGTCCCCGGAGTCCCCCAGGCTGGGTGACTGCGCGTTGCCTTCGCCCGGGTCTAGGCGAGCACCGCGGCTGAGGGGGTGATCAGGCTGCCCAGCTTGGAAGGGACCCCCGTGACCTTTGAGCCGCACTGCACTAGTGAGTCGCACCCCCTCTTCCCCCTGAGACAGGGCGAGGGAGGGGCAGTTCCCACCTACGATCCTGGGGAAGGGCTTTCTCCTTTTCTGTGAAAATGCTTTATAAAAAAGTTTGTTATTGTTTGCATAGAGCAGATTCTTGAAAAACTGTTTTGCACCACAAAAAGTTGTATTTGTTTTCAAAACTATCTGCTTCAGGTTTTTTCTTGCCCTGGGAAAGGGGAGGGAGGTGGTCGCGGGGGTGGGGGGCACTGCTCGCAACATCTGGCCTTTATGAACCCTGCTGACCTCCCCATCCCCCTCCAGCTGTGCGGCAGGGAGGAGCAGCTGGGGTGGGTGAGGACCCATTTCGCTGGGCCTCAGGTTCCCTGCTTAGCTGCTCCCCAAGAGCTGAGGCAGAGGGGGAGAAGGCAGAGCGCGCTGGAAAACAATCCGCCCTGAGGAGGGGCCGAGGCTCTGCGGAGGAGTAGGGAAAGGCAGACCACCTGTTTTTAAAACCTTGTTTCTACTGGAGTCGGGGTTGGCTTTGGTCTCCCGTGGAGCTCTGGGGGAGGGAGGGGAGGAGGGTGCAGAGCTCCGGCAGCCAGGGAAAGGGTTAACCTGCAACCTGGAAAGGCTGCGGAGAGTTAAAAGCCACACCTTTTGGTCAGACCTAGAGCAGCCCTCCTTGGGGACTGAGGTTTCTTTGGAGCTAGTCAGGACTGAGCCATCCGGAGCACTTCCTGGTCCTCCAGCTTGGGCGCTGAGTTCCGGTCCTAGGGCTGTCTTAACCAATCACGCCAGCTTTTTTTGGTGGGGATGGGTGAGATGGTCTCGCTGCCTAGTCCAGGCTGGCCTTGAACTCACAAGGGCTATAAACTCGCAGTGATCCTCCTGCCTCAGCCTCCCGAGTGCTTCGATCACAGGCCAGCACAAGACTTCTCTTCACAAGTAGGCCATGCCCGCAGTTTCTGGAGGGCTGGAGGATGCACTGTTTTCTGCAGTCCACTACAGAAACCTTTTTTTCTTTCAGTGGTGCTGGTGAGCCAGGCCTTCCTTGCTGAGCTGGGCCTTCGCTTTGCCCCTGGGCCTCACCCGGCCCTCGGGGCAGAAACTGAAGTCCCAGAAAGGAGACGCTTGCTTCTTTTTCGTTTGTGGTACTGGGGATCGAACACAGGGCCTTGTGCATGCAAGGCAGGAGCTCTACCACTGAGCCCCAGCCCCAGCCCAGAAAGGGGAGACCTACCTGGGCCTTCTGGGGGAGGCTGGGGTCACCACAGTCCTTGGGGAGCAGTGTGGGGGTGGGGACAGGTGACCCTGAGCTGGGGCGCAGGTCTGGTACCCACAGCCTGCTCCCTCCCGGCTGGGCTTGGAGCTGCTTGCCGGTCCTCGCTTCCCTCCCCTCTGGGGCGCTAAGTCCCCTCCTGTCACCTTTCCTCTCCCTCCAGGTTCCTCCAGGGCCTCTGCTCTCTGCCCTCCCCCTCAGGGTCCCCGAAGCCTAGAGTGACACTTGCTGGCCGGTCAGCCCCTTCCCTGCCCCCGCCTCGGGGCAGCCTCAAGGCCCTCCTGTCCTCAGCCTCTTGCCCCTTAGCCTGACTTCTGCCCCTGGAGCTGCTCCTGCCAGGGTCGCCTTGACAGCCCCAGCCCCCTGCCATGGCTTCTCCAGGTCTAGGACACCACTGGATGCTCACAAGTCTCCCTGGTTCTCTGTCACCAAAGGTCCCTGTTGTCTCTTCTTCCTTTAGTCCTCAGGAGGCTTTAAAGTGATGGAGGGAAACAGGACATAGTGGTGCACTCCTGTCATCCCAGCACTGGAGGCTGAGGCAGGAGGATCTCTGAGTTCTAGGCCAGCCTAGGGTACACAGCAAGACCCTGCCTCAACCAATCAGTCATTCGTTCAGTCAATCAAAGCAGGGAGCCCATGGCATCCTCTCTGTCTTTGGCTTGCCCTGTGCTCCCTGAGTGCTTCCTCTCATGACTCACACACACACTCCCTGTTGAGACCCAGCTCCTGTCCCTGCCTGGAGACAAGTTTCCACCCTGGGGACAGCCCTGTCCTCTTCCCCATCACCTTCCCAAGACTCAGCACCCGAATTCCCATCAGGGTCCCCTGGCTTAAGCAGCAGCCGCCCAGTCCCAGACCTCCCCCTGCTTGTTGGGTCCCTGTCTGTCCTCACCCCAGCTGGCCTGCTGCCCCTGCTCAGCCTGGACCTGGACCGCCACAGTGGCTACTGGCCTGCTCCTGGGGTTCTCGCTCTGCTCTGCTCAGGCCTGTGATCCCCATCACACAGTGGGTCCCCATTTTATCAGGTGCAGCTGCCTGGCCTCACTTTGGGCCCCTTTGGGTTTTGGCCTCCACCCTCCCGACCAGCCTCACCCCCTTTGCGGGGGTTTGTGTGCAACATGGTCTCCTGTACGGTGCGGTATGCCCTGGCCACCCAGCCCTCTCTGCCTCTGAGCTCCAAGGCCCGTTCATCGTGCCACCTCTTCCGTGGATCTTCTTTGACCCCCCAGGTGGGTGTGACCCACGCCACTTCTAGCAAGAGCCTTGGGGGTGCAAAGCAGGGCCCCGCGGCAGGGCACTCCTGGGGCGACCTTCTCACTTGTGCTTTTGCCCCCTGGCACTAACACACTTCAACTCTGTGGCAGTTGTGAAAATGTCCCCAGAAGCCACTGTCCGGGGTGCCAGTCCCCCGCATCCTGTTCACACTTTCCTTAGATAATCTAAGACAAAAAGCCGAGGCAGTGGCCCAGGTTATAATTGTTTGCGGGTTTTTTCCTTGCTTCCCTCTACTGTCATCTCGAATCCTGTGCTTTCCTGTTTCTAGGTCCTGGCTCAGTGACTTGCATGCAGTAGGCAGCTAACAAACGCTCACCCAAGGCAGAGTCCGTATTTTTATAGACTGATTGAGTGATTGATTGAGTTTTTGAGACAGGGTCTCACTATGTAGCCCAGGCTGGCCTCAGACTCGAGGCAATCCTCCTGCCTCAGCCTCCTGAGTGCTGGGATGACAGGCGTGCACCACCACAACTGCCTCAAAATGAAATGTTAAAAAAGGGCTGGGAACCTGGCATGGTGGCACACACACACCTGTCATCCAAGCTCTCTGGAGGCTGAGGCCACACGGTAAATTCAAGGCTAGCTAGAATTACACAGCGAGACCCTGTCTCCGTAAAAGAAAAAGAGCTGAGGATGTGGCTCACTGGTAGAGCGCTTGGCCAGCACTGGTATGGCTTGGGATTCAATCCCCACCATGGAGCGGGTATTCAAAGGACTGCACAGCGGCTTGGCCAGGGCCTTGGCCAGCCTGCAGTTTCACACTTGTCCACTAGATGTCGCTGTCCGCAAGCAACAGAAGGAGGCTCACGGGAGGGTGGAGGGCGGAGAGCGAGTGTGCAAGGGATTAGTTCTGCCTAGCAACCCGGTGCCTTCCAGGGCTGGGCCCTTACCAGGGTCTAAGGAACAGTGACGATGTATGGGAAAGAGGCATTACCATCTGTTTAGCATAGGAGGAAGTGGGGATCAGAGAGGTTTCTGAGTTTGCCTGAGTACAGCCCTGGGCAGAGCAGAGTTGAGCTGAGGTCCATCTGATTAGCAAAGCATTTGCTAGTAGCCAGGCGTCGCTCTGAGTGCATCCCGCCTACTCGCTGATTTACATCTCAGAGTAGGGGAGGAGGTGGGTGCTGTTAATGTCCTTTTCCCAGATGAGGGGACTGAGGTTCGCAGAGGTTAAACCACGGAACTGTGCCCTTTGAGTTTGGGCTTTTTGTTTTTTATTTATTTGGAACTGAGAATCAAACTCGGGACCTCGAACTTGCTAGGCAGGTGTCACGCCGCTGAGTCACACCCCTAGCCCTCCTTTATTTAGGCAGCACATGCTGACAAGTGCTCTACCGCTGAGCTACATCTCCAGCCCTGTTTATTCTTTATTTTGAGACAGGGTCTCACAAAGTTGTCCATGTTGAGCTTGAACCTGTGATCCTCCTGCCTCAGCCTCCCAAGCAGTTAGAATCACAGGGCTGGGCCAGCGCTCCTGCTAGGTTTATGCTCTTTTTTTTTTTTTTTTTTTTTTTTTTGGTTTTGGTTTTTCTCCAGTACCAGGAATAGAACTCACGACCTTGCACTTGCCAGGCAGGCGCTGTGCCCCTGAGCTGAATCCCCAGCCCCAGGTTTGTGCTTTTAATGACCAGAGGCTACCACAGGTCTTGGCACAGTAGCTACCAATTATGAGACAAGGCAGTCTCCAGAAGTATGTAGAGGCCACGGCTGTGTGCCAGCCCTCAGGAGCCCAGAGCCCACCTCAGCCTGGTGGCTCACCCTCTCTGGTCCCGTGTCACCACCTGGAGTCAGGCATTCTATGGCCACAGGTGGCTCGCAGACATAGGAGTCCCGTCATTGATGATTTATCACCAAACAGAAGCTGGGCTCAGTGGTGCACACCTAGGATCCCAGCACTTGGGAGGCTGAGGCAGGGGGAGGCAAACTGGAGGCCAGGCTGGGGAACTTAGAGACTTAGCAAGAGCCTGTCTCAAAATTAAAAAAATGAAAGGTCAGTGAAATGTAGTCAGTGCAAAGGCCCTGGGTCCAGTACCCTTCATTTAAAAAAGAAAAGAAAAGAAAATAGAAGTGTAGTTACCTGAAGAGCACCTGGCTCATGGATTCCAGTGTGATGAACGCCATCCCTGTGAGATCACCATGGGCCGTGTAGACCGCGGATGCTTGGCGATGGAGTGTGACTGTCCAGGCGACGGAGCTTTGGGATGTGTTCTAGTCAGAACTGCAAGCCCCTCCCCGCAGCCCTGCCCGTGAGTGCGTGGGGTTGGGGCACATGGAGGCAGAAGTCCTAACCGCAAGCAAGCGGGTCCCCCTGGGGTGGCGGGCGGGACAGATGGTAAGGACGCTTGCTGTGCCGCTCGGAAGCATGAAGAGGTGTAAACCCTGAGGTCAGGAGGAAGCACGTCCCCAGCAGAGGGCACAGAGCAGGTGGCAGCCCTGGGTGTCACAGACCTGAGGAGCTGGTGTCCTGGCCTGTAGTCCCAGCTGCTCAGGAGGCTGGGGCAGGAGGATCGTGAGTTCGCAGCTAGCCTGGGTAACTTAGCAAGAGGCTGCCTGAAAAGAAAAGCAAAAGCTTGGGCATGGGGCTGGGGATTTAGCTCAGTGGCAAAGCGCCTGCCTGGCAAGCACAAGATTATGAGTTCGATTCCTGGTACCGGAAGAAAAGACAAGCAGTGCACGAGAGAGATGCCAGTGTGGTTGATCCTAGTGTGGGGGACAGAGGCTGGGCCCAGGTCTCTGCAGGCCACAGTGAGGATTTGGGCTTATCCCGCCAGCCTGGGAGAGGGGACTCTGCTATCAGATTTGCATTTTAGAATTTTTTATCAGCTGGGTGTGGTGGTAGCAGGTCTGTAATCCCAGCACTTGGAAGGTTGAGGCAGGAGGATTGCTGTGAGTTGGAGTCCAGCCTGGGCTACACAGCAAGCGACCTTGTCTCAAAAAACAAAAAAGGGGCCGGGGATATAGCTCAATGGTACAACACCTGGCAAGCACAAGGTCCTGAGTTCAATTCCTGGCACCAAAAAAAAAAAAAAAAAAACAAAAACCAAAAACCTAAATCAGAACACCAAAAACATTATTTACTTAACTGTTTATTTTTGTGTTTTTGAGACAGGGTCTCCATGTGTAACACAGGCTGGCCTTGAGCTCCAGGCAATCCTCCTGCCCCAGCCTGAGTGCTGGGATTCCAGCCAGATCTGTATTGGAAGGACATCCTGGTGGCATCTGTGGGACTTCTGTGGGACTTCTGTGGGACTAAAGCAGATGTGGGACGAGTGATTGGTCCAGGGTGACAGGCGTGGAGGCCAGGCCAGGAGCTGAGATGGGCGTGCAGGGGTGGTTGGGGGTGCCTGACAGTGAGGTGAGGTGACAGTGACAGTGAGGCTGAGGGTGTGACCAGAGCTAGCCTCAGGCTCTGCTGTAATTTCCGATCCAGTGCCGTTGGCCAGGAAACCCTGACGGCTGGGCTTCAACAGGACCGGCAGAGTTGGAGGCGCCTGGAGCTGTGGGAAGACAGCAAGCCTGTCTGCCCCTATGTGGCCTGGCACAGGGAGACAGGTGAGGGTTAGAGCTACCTTGGGGGCAGGGACAGTGATGAGGCCTGTCAGGACCCAGGAGGGGTCGTGGAGAAGCAGCAGAGATACCGCCAGCTGCCAGAGAGGCTTCATGTAGCAGAGCCCAGCCAGGCATGGTCCTCACACCTATCATCCCAGGAGGCTGAGGCAGGAGGATCACAAGTTCCAGCCCCATTTGGGCAATTTAGTGACTTAGTGAGACCCTATGTCAAAATAAAATCAGAGCTGGGTGTGGTGGCGCATGCGTATAATCCCAGCACTTGGGAGGCTGAGGCAGGAGGATCGTTGCGAGTTCGAGACCAGCCTGGGCTACAGAGTGAGCTCAAGGCCAGCCTGAACTGCATAGCAAGACCCTGTCTCAAAAAATAAAAAAAAATTTTAAAACATTAAAAAAGAAAGTCAAAGGGGCCTGAGGATGTAGCGCTTGGGGGTGGGGGTGGCTCAGGCTGATGCTGGCCTAGTAGTTCAAGGCCCTGGGTTGAAAAACAAGAAAGGAGCATGCGCAGGAGGTCAACACAGGCATCTTTCTCTTTTTTTTTTTTTTTTTTTTTTTTGAGACAGGGTCTTGCTATGCAGTTCAGGCTGGCCTTGAGCTCACTTTGTGGCCCAGGCTGGTCTTGAACTTGCAACAATCCTCTTACCTCAGCTTCCCAAGTGCTGGGATTACAGGTGAGAACCACCACGCCCAGCTCTACACAGGCATCTCTTTTTTGAAATTTGGAGGAGGAAGGACAATCATGGAGAAGGTTCTGGAAAATTCTGGAAGGTTCTGGAAGATTCTAGAACAGCGATGGGGAACCTTTTAGAGCTTTATATGATGTAAGCATCCCACTACAGCAACCATCCCATAGGTTCTCCACCACTGTTCTAGAAGGAGGGGAGATGCCCTTCTCACAGCGTCAGTTTTCTCTGAGAAGGGGAGACCTGGAAAAGCAGGTATAGCAAGGGAGGGGACTAAAGAACCTAAGAGAAATGTGACACAGAGAGAGGGAAACCAGTCAGCTGGGAACAGCATTAGTGGAAGCACCCCACTTCTAGGAATGGACTCCCCTTAACCAGTACTGAGGACTGAGCTCAGGATCTTTACACTTGGTCTCATCAAGTCACTAAGTCACCCAGGTTGGGCTCCAACTTGGGTTCCTCCTGCCTCAGCCTCCCAGAGTGCTGGGATTACAGCTGTGCATGGCTTATGTGGCTGTTTCCCCTGGCTTTGAGATCCGATTGGTGCTGTGTGAAGGGAGGAAGGAAGGGCTGAGAGGTCAGGGAGGCGGCTTGCAGTCCCTCAACGTCCCTGCCTCACCCCTGCGACCGCCGCAGTCATGGCCACGGGACCTTGAGTGTCTGTCACAAACACAGAGAGGAATGTCCTCTCCCTGGGTCTCCCGCAGGCCCCAGGCCTGTGCAGGGACAGAGTGAGGAGGGGGCCCATTCCTGGTTGGGGAGCCCTGACCCCATACTGGGGCAGCTTGGGAGGGCACCAGGCCCTCTGCTGGGGACCTGGGTGCAGGGCAGCTGAGTCTGGGGCTTTGAGGTCTCCCATGTGACCCGGGCCATGTCTGTACGTGAGTGTGCTTGAGTGTGCGTGAGTGTGTTGTGTGGAGCCTGGAGCCCGGGGATGGGTTGTACCGCAGACGGCCTGGGGTCTGCTCTCCCGGCCGTCTGCCGCAGAGGAGCAGGCGCAGGAGGGGAGCTTGGAGCGGGGCTGCTGTGGGGAGGCGGGGGCAGTCGGTGTCCGCCGGGCCTTGTGGGCCGGGACCAGCTGCTCTGTGGGCTTTGATTGTGAAAATCCCTTCTCCCTTGGCAGGGCTGGTGTCCTCACCTGATGCCACCGACTCCGCAGTTCACCTCCCTGTACCCCTCCTCCACAGGCACCTGGGCAGAGTAGACTGGGGGTGACCCTGGGCAGAAAGGGGACCAAGGGACACCAGGGCACTCGGCAGAGGGGACCAGCCTGAGTCAGGATGGAGTGGTGGGAACCATGGCCTGCTCTCGGGGGTCTCTGCTCCAGAGCGGGGTACCCTACACCTTTTCCTTTGCCCTGGGGAAAGGCGGGCAGGGCCTGGGCACCCAGCCAGAGGCCTGGCGGCCGGAAAGACCTCCCATCTCAGACAGCCGGAGTCCTCCAGGCCAGCGGACATCTCCAGTCTGTCCCTCCATGCTGGCCACCCTCCCCTCCCTCTGTGCCTGCCCTGGTATGAGGCGGATACAGAGCCTGCGAGGGTAGTGAGTCCTCCCCGGTGCCCAGGCCTCCTGCGGGGAGTGCTCCATGCCAGGCCCGTGCCAGGTCTGTGCTACCGCCTTCAGCTTGTCACTTCCTGCTCCTCTGAGCTGCGGCAGTGACACCTTCCCTGGCACCATCCCACCCGGCCCAGCCAAGTAGCGCCCAGCCCACGGTGGGCAGCAGGCACAGCTCCCAGCGACAGGGCTGGCACACTCCACTCCTTACCTCCCTCCCTTCCTCATACCCTGGCTTCTGCCAGCAGCCCTTCCCTGTCACATCTGGGCCGCTGTTATGGTTTATGTCTGGAGGTCCCCATAAAGCCTCCTGTACCCGTAGGTGGGGCTTTGGGGAGGTGACTGGATCAAGGGGCCTGGTGCTCATCAGCACATTGGACCCTGATGGGTGGAGCCTGGTGGGAGGAGCCAGGTCACTGTGGGTGTGGCCTGGAGGATGTATGTTCCTCCTCCTCCCTTGATCCCTCTCTAGCTCCTGCCTGCCCTGTCATGAGCTGCTTCTCCTCTGAGGTGCCCCTCTGCCATGCCACCCTGCCTTGGAGCCCGCCAACTATGAGTTGAAATCTCTACAAACTGTGAGCCAGAATAAACCTCTCCTCCTTTCACTTGTGGGTGTCAGTCATGTTGTCCCAGCCTCAAGAAAGTAACTAATAAAAACTGTTACAATGAGGAAAAAAAAAAAAAGTAACTAACACATGGCAGGTTGGGTTGGGCTTCTGTTTAGATGCCTGCTAGGTGTGATGGGGCTGGTGTCATCCTGGGCCTCGGCTTCATGGTGACTTCAAGGCCAGCCTGGAATACACAGCGAGACCTTGTCTCAAAAAACCAAAAAAATAGACCCGTGGCATGGACACCACTGGAGACCTCTGGGTCAGTATCAGCGTCGGCCACAGCTCCTGACGATTCTGGCCCATATGTGAGTTTGAGAAGCACCATGGCCAACTTCCTGTCAAGGTGGTGCAGGTGAGAGCCCTGTTTCCTAGATTCCAAGGGGGCTCCTGGCCCAGGCCATGCCCACGGGCGTGGAGGTGCTCCCTGTGGTCCCTGTCATTCTGCCTCAGTCTCCCTCCTCTCTGGCTTCTGCCCAGGCCTTGCCTGCTGCCACCCACGTTATGCAAACCCCAGGGCCCACTCAGGCTGGGCCACCAAGTGCTCCTGTCAGCCCCACTCTGGCCTGGCGCTGGGACTCTCTAGGTCCCCTCCCCACCAGCCGCCTCCTGCGAACTCAGCCTCCCCCCCAACCCAGGCTGCTGTGGGATTTTCCATGCGGCCCAGACAGCGCCAAGCGGATCTATATTTTCCTCTCCTCCCCCGGACAGACGCGGTACCTCCGCCTCCCGTGCCAGGCTGCGGCCCTGCAGTCTGTCGCGTGCGGCGCTGTCTGGGATCTGCGTGTTTAATGTTTCATCCAGGAAGCGCTTCTGGCCAGGCGCTGGGAGTGGTGTGAAGCCGGGAGAATGTCAGGCCCCGGAATGGCTCCTGACAGGTGGCGGGGGAAGAGGATGGTGACGCCAGCTCCGTGTTGGGGCTCAGCTCCCCACCCTGCATGGAGAGCACCCCTTCCACGGAGAGCAGCCCATCCTGGATTCCATGTTGCTCCTGGGTCCCCAGGCTGTGGTCATGTCACAGCCATGTGACTGTCAGGGGATTTTCCACCAGAAGAAACTCTCTGGCGCTGGCTGTGGTGGCGTGTGCCTGTCACCCCAGCACTTGGGAGGCTGAGGCGGGAGGATCGC